TTAGTAAGAATATTGATATATATATATATATATATATATATATATATATATATAAGTATAATGAATTATGATATATAAAGTGAAATATACTTTAGATATGAGAAATATCAAGTAATTAGTTATGGTATTTGTTGAGCAACTTAATGCTATGATCGATGGAATCAGCACTGTTTGGTCCGACCCCCGTGGAGTCGCCCACGTGGTTGCTTGAACTAGGATGGTCAGCATTGGGTCAAGTCCAGGCTTAGGATAGATCGAAGGTAGAGCAAGAAGTTTCTTTTCCTCCCTCACTAGGTTACTGTTTCATCGCCGAGTTTCTGCACACAGGCCAAGGTCGGAAGGGGGATTTCCCGACTCGACCCCTTCAAAGCTCAAGTCAGTATTTAGTAGAGTTAGAGAGAGTTGAGGTGTTCGAAGTCACATCCTTGATGCTAGTCAGGAGGTTGACTTTTATACCTACGAACGAAGATTAATCGTACATGGTCTCTTAATGATCGTCGATTCCTCATGTGACCAACTCATACCTTCCATACGGGCGTTGATCGACTTACATGGATTGGCACTGTGCGACACCATTTTGAGCTTTTCGAAGCAGCTTTGTATTATGCGACACTATTTTTTACGACCCCGAACAACGCGGGAATAAGCGATCATCCCATCCGAGTTCGAGGTGTCACGTTGACGTAGTACACCATATTAGTCTTAAGGCTCTGCGTTGGCACTGATGTGACTGTCAACTGATGCCACGGGGTAGTACCAAAATATGCCCTATCAGTATGTTCTCTCTTCAATCATTTTCGTTCCCTCGATAGTATAATTTATATAGTCTTGGAAATATTATCTTAGCTTTTATCTCCCATACTACAAACAAAGATGTTTAAGAGCAGCGAGATTTTTGGCATGCCATAACGTGCATGGCCTCCTCTGAGCTCCTCAGTAGGTATTTTTAGCTTCGGTCCCAAAAATGAACTCTGTTCGATCTTAATTTTCACTTGAGCAGAAAAGACTTGGGAGTTCTCTTATTGTCAAATTGGGTGATCTAAGCTTCCTGCTAATGGTAAGGGACAAGGATGGAGTGGCATAACTCCAATTCACCTGGTCTTGATATTAGACATGGATCATTCGAGCTAGTGGAGAAGTCACCTGCTGCGGAAGACTTAATTATGCCCTGTAGCTGATGTACCAAAGTGCCATGTCCCTTGCAGACACTTTTAAGAAGACTTCCTGACACTTGTACATCAATATTTTTGACGTCCATGACATAGATTCTGAGGCTGTCAGTAGCTGTCAAAGTGGGATACTTTACTGCACTTCCTCTCTCTCTCTCTCTTTCTCTCTCTAACTCTTCATAATATTCTGTCCTCTTCGACTGGAGTTATGAATGTCTGCTATTACCTTCCATCAATCATTAATGGGTGATGTAGCTACAGCTGAATCCTCCCTCTCAGCGAAGTAGAGTGTGAAGCATGGTTGGCACTGCTCTTACCTGATAGCTTTTAAGACAGGGGAAGAGAGAATCCAATGCCAAGATCACAGATGGAATCTTATATTTTTAGTGGGCTCACTGTAAGGACCCATGCATTAAAACCTTAATTTAATGCCATGTGGAATCTTATATTTTGCAATGAAGGACTCATAACTGATGCATAAACCTTCATTCAAGCTCTGGATTTCTCAGCTGCAGATATGTAGTTATTCCTCAAGTGTAATAATTTTGAGTAGGTTATGTGGTGTTAAAACCACCATACTTGACTCAGTTCTTGCAAGATTTTGACTTTTGATTCAATTCTGAGCATTCTATCCAATAAACACAAGTAGAGAAGAGTGTCCAAGTATATAATTCTAACAATTACCTTTAGAGGATAAGAATTACAATACATATAATTCAAGTTGGCATGAATTAGATCATTGATAAAAAAAATATAATAAAACCTTATTATCATCAAAATATGGGAAACTAAAGGAAGAGAGAGAGAGATGAAACAAATGTAAAATACTAAATAGACCTCTTAACAACCCAATGTTAAAGATTGGAGGAGTCATTTGTTATATGGCAACTTGAGATTGTATAGAATAGGCTAATAATTTCTATCCTAATGACTGGAAGGTTTGCAGTCCCATCAATTAGTCTTCAACCTATGCCTCATTATGATGGGATGTTGCTCAAATGATGTCTATATTTGTGATGTGAAATTTGTAGAAATATTATTACATGTTAAATTTTTTTTTTTCATGAAAATAGGATTTGAGTACAAAATCTTACAATGATTTTTCAAATTCTTAGTCAACATCTTCAAAATTAAATATATTTATTTATGCTTCCAAGGATTAGTTGTGTCTCCGTTGACCGTGTGGGCTTTTCCACGCTCATGGGCGTTGACTTTTTTCACTGGCTTCGGATCGGATGAAGTGCCACTTGCAGCGGAAGCATTAAAAGGCTAATGGGACTCGCATCGCGGTGGCAAGTGGAGATGCGTAGTATAAGGATGGACCCGGCATCGAAGCTTGCAACCGATCCCATTGGGAGACGGGAAGAGACGTGTTGCCGCCCTCGGCGGCGTCCAGCCTGGCAATCTCTCGCTCGCGAATCACGAGGCGTACGCGGCCTCCGAAGCTCCGCCATCACCACCCTCGTCGGCGGTGTGCGTCACCCGTACAATTGTACCTCTCCCACCTACGTGGACGGCTCGCCGGCGGAGAACAAGAAGGGCAAAAAGGTCCGGACGTAGTAACCGACGGTCCTGATTCGTCGCTGTCTGTGACATCCCGCGCCAGCTGCGTCTTCCGGCTCTGCTGTCCCCGCCACTTACCCATAACTTAATTAGCGGCATCTACATTGCTAATAATCACAAGAGCAGTTGTTATTAATAGTAGTTATGTGCAAATTACGATGTGGGAAACGAAGCTATTACTGCAAACCACCCTTTTTCTTTGATTCTATGGTCGGAAGAAGAAGAAGCTAAAAGAGTGAACTTTTCCCTTTCTTGATCTCTATCCCAATCTCTTTTGCTGCTGCCACCGCAAGAACAAAAGAGGAGATGGAGTAGGGTGGGGCGAGCCAGTGGGGGCGGAGTGCATCGCCGGTGAGGTTACCGCAGGCGCTTACTTCGTCTTGTCGCCGTCCGTGGATTCTCACATCTCGCTTTTGGGGTTTTGCAGGGCTGCGGCGATCGCTTCGAGCCTAAGGGATCCGAGTGCTGAAGCCCAAGCCCTGCTTGGATTCCTCGATTTTGATCGAGAGCCGGGTCGGTCTTCCTTCTTGTTCGCTCTGGCGGGGATCAGGGCCACGTTCGCCCTCCTCCTGGTGTCCGCGATCGCTCGCTTCGCCGATCTCTTCGATTTTAAGACTCGCGGACGCCGCCGGCGCCGGCGTAGTGGCGGAGTCATGCTCTGGGTCGTCCGCCTCTCCGGTTTGTGCTCCCTTACCATGGTCATGGTAGTGCTGTCCCCCTCCCTCCAATCCTTCCCCCCCGCCGAGGCCATCCGATCGTCTCACTACCTCCGCCTATACGGCGGCTACAATCACCATCTCGCCGCTGCCTCCGACGACTCCGAAGACCTCGTGTTCCGGCGGGCGCCGCCGTTCCACAATGCCGCAGATTGCGAACCTCCGTCGGCGAACGGCACCTCGGTCTGCGACTCCTCGCTGGTGCACATCGCCATCACCCTCGACGAGGAGTACCTGCGCGGCTCGATTGCGGCCGTCCACTCGGTGCTCGCCCACACCCGGTGCCCGGAGAGCGTGTTCTTCCACTTCCTGGTGTCGGAGCCGAGCCTGGAGCCGGTGGTGCGATCCGCTTTCCCGGGGCTCCGGTTCAAGGCGTACTACTTTGACCCGGACCGTGTGCGAGGGTTGATCTCCTCGTCGGTGCGGCAGGCGCTGGAACAGCCGCTCAACTACGCGCGCAACTATCTGGCGGGCATCCTCGAGCATTGCGTGAGGCGGGTGATATACCTCGACTCCGACCTCGTGGTGGTCGACGACATCGCCAAGCTATGGCGCACGGAGCTGGGGTCGCGGGCCGTGGGTGCTCCCGAGTACTGCCACGCCAACTTCACCAAGTACTTTACGGACCGCTTCTGGTCCGACCAGCGCCTGGCGTCGACGTTCGCCGGTCGACGTCCGTGCTACTTCAACACGGGGGTGATGGTGCTCGACCTGGTCAGGTGGCGGCGCGCCGGGTACACGCGGCGGATCGAGCGGTGGATGGAGGTACAGAAGAGCGGCGCCGGCCGGATCTACGAGCTGGGGTCGCTGCCGCCCTTCCTGCTGGTATTCGCTGGGCACGTGGCGCCAATCGAGCACCGGTGGAACCAGCACGGTCTCGGCGGGGACAACGTCAGGGGCAGCTGCCGTGACCTCCACCCGGGGCCGGTGAGCCTCCTCCACTGGAGCGGCAGCGGCAAGCCATGGGTGCGGCTCGACTCAATCCGGCCATGCCCGCTCGACCACCTCTGGGCGCCCTACGACCTCTATGGCCCCGCAGCCTCCTGACGCACCTGATACTGCCGCCGCCTCCAAAGTAAACTAGCCATTTCCTCATCCATTACGAATTCTCGCTTCTTTTTTGCTTCCCTTCTCATGATTTTACACGTTTATTATTCTTTACGGGATTACTGTGCGTTTCTCTTCCGGGTTTTGTTCTTCCTCCCCACTCCCACTCTTTTGTTGCGAGGCCATATTTGTAATTTAAAGTTATATTATTGCTGACTCCGTGAATAAAAGAGTAGGCGATATACTCACATTTGTTCCCTATATATACAATTACTGGGTTTCTTTCCCTACCTTTCGCCCTTCGTTGTTCGATGCCCCGATTCTATCGCATGCACCTCTGTTTCTGTTTTGAGTCGACAAGCAAAACTGGAGCTTTGTTCTTGGTTCTGATGTACATGTAGGAAGCCTTCGTTGTTTGATTCGCCCAATGTAGCTCCAAATTAGTGAGTCTTTGATCCAGAAATACAAGGAAGAAACGAAGGGAAAATGTAGGCGTGACCCTGTATTCTTCGCCTGATGATGATGATGATGTTGAGGTCCAATCTCTTGTAGCTTTTACCGTGGCTGGGGTGGATGGGGAATCTGTTGGCATGTCAATGGCAGTGGGGGGATCGCCCTTTCCTTGGAAGACAAGTTTTGGTTGAGTATCACGCACACAAAAGTATTCCATGTGGTCCTTGCACCGACAGCCACCCCACCGGCACAGAATTGTCACCTCGGTGGCTGCCTTCAGATGAGGTGCGCACCATGTGTTTGTTCAATTGTGAGGCGATCAGGTGCAGACAAGTCGTCCTCGCTCACGATAAAGAACAAGGCAAAAAAAGATCGCTCTCCAGCTCTCAGACGATGGCTGGCTGGTGGCCGATGGCGATGCCCTACCTGCAGCTGCTCATCATGATCGGCGTGATTGATACGGCGTACCTAAAGGTCATCGCAGCGATAATATTGTGTAATCCTAGTGCTGTTTTATGCGTAGTTGTTCTCGTGTCGAGCGTTTGCAGAGCGGATAAATTGACCAAACCGACGAAAGAGGAGGAGGAGGAGGAGGAGATGGGATGTGGTTTCTTGGGCTTTGATCCGTTCCTTAGAGGACCAAAACAATGTTTGTGGCGTCCACCTTACACAGCTCAGGAAAGTTCAATGTTTCTTAGGGTTCATGAACTGCCAGCTTTGGACTCCACCATCGCTTCTCAGCTGCCTTCTTTGAGGCGACAATAAATCTTCGAGTTCGCTGCAGCAGCTAAGGATTTTGGTTTCCGATTCACTTAATGGCGGTTGGGGTTTGGACGAAATGACTCGGATGGCTCCATCCCCTTTTCACTGAATCCATAATTAAAATTCGACCTTATCAATTTGGATCAATATGCGATGAATGGATGTCATGTTGTGGTACGGACCAAATCTAAATGGATTCGTCGATCCACAGCCCAAGTTCTTTCGAAGGCCATTACCACCCTCTGTGATGGTGGCGAAGGAACACTTATTTACTTTTTATCTGTCACCAATAGCAGATAAGATTTTTCCAACTATACGAGGAAAGAAAAATTTTTCCTTATAAATAGGAGAGGGATATGTTAATGGACTCATTACGTTATGAAGCCCACCAAATCGCACAAAAATATCGAGCTGAGATCAATGTGATGAGACATCTGTGGTGTCAGCTTAGAGAGTAGTATTCTTAATGTGCTGAGAGAGAGTTTTCCTTGACCACAATGATCACGTCAACATATAAAATCCACTCCAAGAATCTGCATCTCCCACATGAAAGATTCATATGATGTTTATGCTACGCATTTATGCTTTACATGAATTCAATGTTGTAAAATTTAATGCATTATATTGTGATTTTGATTATTACAAGTAAGTGAAAAATGGAAAAATGTAGTGGACTCATTACTATAAATGATATTAGGTACAATCTAAATTAATGCATTTTATGCAATATTCTTTTCTTTTGCTCTTAATAAATGATCCCAAGTCACCTTTGCGTTCACCCTTATCACTACAATTAATCAATTTAATTTGACATATAATCAGATTCTCTTAGTGTTCTT